AAGCAATGTCCTCCACAACTGGACTGAAGAACAAAACGACAGCAACTTGTCTGTTCCCCTTCCCCCAATTCCCTAGCACTGTTCCCATCCCCCAATTCCCCAATAAAAATCTTAAAAAAAAAAAAGTGTGCTCAAGAGTGCGAGCTCTGAGCAACAGCAGTTCGATGCCCAGCCTGAGCTAAGCTGCCGCTGAGCTGCCAACAGGGTAGCAGGATGGCTCAGCTAAAAAAAAAAAAAAGAGTGAGAGCTTTGAGCAATAGGGTCACTGGTTCGATTCTCACATGGGCCAGTGAGCTGCGCTCGAACTGAGCTGCCACTGAGCTGCCAACAGGTGGCAGGATGACTCAGCTGATGAGAGCACGTGCTCCTAACAACAAGACTGCCTGTTTGATGGTGGGCTATGCCCACCCGCAACTAAGACTGAACTCGACGCCTTGAGCTGAGCTGCCACCTAGATGGCTCAGTGGATATAGCATGTGCTCTTAACAACGCGGCTGCTGGTTCAACTCCCGCATGGGATGGTGGCTATACCTACCCGCAACTAAGTGAACACAGCACCTTGAGCTGAGCAGCACAACTGCACTTGAGGCTGAGCTAGCTGCACCCTCCACAACTAAGATTGAAGGACAACAACTTGGCTGTTCCCCTCCCCCTATTCCCCAACACTGTTCCCCTCCCCCAATTCCCCAATAAAATCTTAAAAAAAAAAAAGCTAAGTCTTGTGGAGTAAACAGACATTTAAAAATGCATTACAACACAATGTAACCCCTGCATTCAGAGAGGCAGAAGAAGAGCAAAGAACTAATTCTTCTTGGAGGGGGGGGGGGGAAGGATTCCCAGAGCATATGATCTTTGAGTTGAGCTTCTGAAGGATGACTAGACATTTTCCAGTTAAGAGGGATCCTAATTAGTGGGGAAAGCAGATACAAAAGCATGATGCACCCAGATGCAGATGGCGTTCTGGATGAGCAAGGTGTTGACTTGCTATAAGGCAGGATTCATTCATTCATCCATTTATCTATTCAACAGATACGGAGTAAACTTAGAATGTGCCAGGCATTGTGCTAAATGCAAAGGGTTCAAAAGTGAGCAAAACAGATATGATCCCGACCCTTGTGGAACTTAAAACTCAGTAGGGATGGCAGCTGATAACAAAGCTCTAATGATCATGTGTGAGAAGGAAAGAAGAAAGGGATATCCAAGCATAGGAGGGAGGAGCTGAGAGAGTGGGCTGGGACAGATTATGAGACATCCCCCTCCCCCATACCATGCTAGGGAGATGGAAATCCCCCCTCAATCCAGTATGACCTCAGAATCCACATTCTCTGGATTCTCATTGCCCTTAGGGTAGGTCCAAATACAGACGCACAGAATTAAAGGTCTTTTCTGACCCAGCTCTGGCTCACTCACTCATCCAACCTTGTTCTTAGACACTCCTCTCGCTTAAACCCCTGTCAGCTCCAGTAATTGTCATGTTCTTTTCATTCCTTGACTTTGCACGTTGGTTCCTTCTGCCTGGAATGCCGCCTGCTTTCTCCCCTCTATCTAGTTTCCCTTCTGCAGACTCAAATGGTGCTTCTGGTCTTGCTTAAGATGACACTCCTCAGGGAAGCCTTCCTTGACTCTCCCAGGCTGGGCAGGATGCTATTTCAGCATTCCCCTAGCACCTCAAGCTCTCCCTCATCAGATCACAGAAGACCCTAGGTGGGAAACATTTACTCAGCTGTGCTCGCCACTAGATTGTGAGCTCCTTGCAGGTCAGGACTGTGACTTGTTCATCATCAAACCCCCAGCACAGTACCTGGAGCACAACAGGGATTCAATAAATATTTACCAAGTGAATAAGTGAATGAATAAAAGTGCTGTATTCAGGAGGCAGAGGGGAGCCATCCAAGGTCTTGAAGCAAGGGAGGGACCTTATCAGACCTGGGCTCATAAGGATAAGCCTTGCCCACAAGGGACCATCATAATCAGCACCTGAAGATGAAAACAGCTCATTTGCGTTGTATTCTTGGTTTTCTTGAGCTATGAAATTTGGCTTTATCTCTTCTTGACCACATCTGGATACCAGAAAATACCAGAAACTGTCACGTTAATAACTAGGCTTTCCTTTATGTAGGTGTGATGTGGAAAAAGAGCTTGTGACTTGGGTCAGGGCCCCAAACTCTCACTAGAACCAGGAGTCCCCATGCCAAAAAGGCTGTGGGAAGCCGAGGCGATGTGGAGAGCCACAGACATGACTCTGAGGGGAACCGGAAGCAGCCCCTGAACTCCCCCCTCCAGTCTAGACCACTACACAGTCACGTACCACATGACCGATGTTTTGGTTAACGATGGACTTCATATACAACAGCGGTCCCGTAACATTATGATGGAGCTGAAAAATTCCTATTTGTCACCTAGTGACAGCGTAACCATTACTCACGTGTTTGTGGTGATACTCGTGTAAACAAACCTGCTGTGCTGTCAGTCATATAAAAGTATAGCACATACAATTATGTACAGTACATAATACTTGATGATGATAATAAATGACTGTTATTGGTTTATGTACTTACTACACTATACTTTTTTATCATTATTTTATAGTGTACCCTTTCTACTTGTAAAAAAGAGTTTGCTATAAAAGAGTACACCCTGTTACACCAGCAGCAGCATCATACATCTCCTGTTTACCAAGTCTTTTGATTGTATCATTTTCTCTGGGGCTTGATTTAATCTCATGTTGCTTAATAAATTTAGTATAGCCTAAGTGTACAGTGTTTATAAAGTCTACAGCAGTGTACAGTGTTGACCCCCAAGAAGGAATATACCTGCCAAGGACGCCTTGTGGTTAATTGGGTTCAAATTCATAATCAGTCTAGCCGCCATTCCTGACAGGAGCCTCTGCCGCACTCAGCATTTCACAGGAAAGCCAGACTGAACAGCCAGCCTTCTGCACTGTGTTCCTGCTGTGTGGGCCAACCCTCATAAATGTGTTCCTGGAATCATCTCTCAACCAATGGGCTGAGACATGCCCTGTTGTCCAGTTAGAACTGCACAGTTATATCCTCATTTGTATCTTTACTGATCAATCAGAAAAGCTCCATAATAACTAATAAGAACCCATGAAGCCAACCAATCACGACAGTGCTATTTAGACCAATCCAATTGAGCAAATTTGGATTCCTCATTTGCATTAAAAAATGGACCAATCAGGAACTACGGCAGGCACTTTCTCTATATAAGAAGAGCCTCCTGTTTGTCTTCTGGAGCACACTTAAGGTTCCACTAGATGCTGTGTTCTGTTGTTTTGCAAACTGTTTACCTGAATACTGTTTCTCCTTTTACCGCACCCCAGACTGGGGACTCCTGTTGGAATTGGATTGGTGGCACCAACCGTTTACTGACAACAGTAATGTCCTCAGCCTTCATCTTCGCTCACCACTCACTCACTGACTCACCCAGAGCAACTTCCAGTCCTGCATGTTCCATTCATGGTAAGTTCCCTATATAGATACACCATTTTAAATCTGTTATACTGTATTTTTAATGGTACTTTTTCTATTTTTAGACATACAAACACTTATATTCCAGTTGCTTAGAATATCCACTACAGTAACATGCTGTACAGGCTTATAGCCTAGGAGCAATAGGCTACAGCATACAGCCTAGGTGTGCAGTAGGCTACACCATCTAGGTTTGTGTCACTGCACTCTGTGACGGACACATAACCACAAAATTGCCCAAGGAGGCACGTCTCGGAACATATCCCTGTCCTTCAAGTGACTGTGTATCTACATACTTCTCTTGCTCGCAAAGCACACTGCCCCATCTTGTTCTCCTTAAATATGCAAATATTGCTTCCTGAAAAGGAAGGCTGGAAGGCCTTCCACGTTCAAGGCAGCGCTTATAGCTAGCTCCCTGCTGGAGGTCATGCAATATCATCAGTGTCTGTTAGAGAATCCTATGCCTAGATTTCCCTGTCTGCAAGGAGCGCTCCCCAGACAGCGCTTCCTCGAAGGACCAGGAACTGGGTCTGGGGGCGCGGGAAAGTCAAATCAAGATGCGACGTCGAGCTAGTTCTAGACCTAAGGAAAGGAGCCAGTGGGCAGAGGGAAGACGCAGAGCTGATGCCCGCCTAGGCACGGGCTCCAGGCTCTGCAGCGGAGGGGTCTGTGAATCCTCCCTTGAGCTCACACGCAGCCTAGCGGCTAGTTAGCCTAAGGGGCCAAATCTCCCGACTGGGGACAACGCTACAGAGGGGCGGACTGGGCACGCCCCGCACAGCTAGGCTTTGAGGGGCGGGTCTGGGCTCTGAGCCTCCAGAGATCAGGCCGCCGCTCTGGGCGCTGGGGGAGGGAAGGGGAGGAGCCACGTGGGGAGGAGCAAAACCCGGAGGCCCCGGGAACCTTGGGCAGAGCCAGAGCCGCTGGAGCCCCAGCTCCGTAGCACTGCTCTTGGAACCGCGCCGTCTGTCCGAGCCCAGCCGCAGCCTGTCTAGCCCACGCGGGCGTTTTGCCTTCGGTGCGCAGCGGAAGAGAAGGGCCAGTGCTGACACGGGCTAGGGGCCCGCGCTCCTATCCTATCCCAGAGCTGCCCAGCTGCCGGCTGCCCCTGCCGCTCCAGCGGGGCCCAGCCCGACCTGCCACCTGCTTCCCGGTTGCGCCATGGATCCATCCGAGAAGAAGATATCCGTGTGGATCTGCCAGGAGGAGAAGCTGGTGTCCGGCCTCTCTCGCCGCACCACTTGCTCAGACGTGGTGCGGGTGCTCTTGGAAGACGGCAGCCGGCGACGACGGAAACAGCGGCGGGGCCGGCGGCGGGGGTCGGCCGGCGACCCGCCAGGCCCGGGGGAGCTGCCGAAATCCCTGGACGAGGACGACGAGGATGACGATGAGGATGAGGCGCTGCCGCCGGGTTTGCTGTGCGGGCCCCCGCAGTGCTATTGCATTGTGGAGAAGTGGCGGGGTTTTGAGCGCATCCTGCCCAACAAGACGCGCATCTTGCGTCTCTGGGCAGCCTGGGGCGACGAGCAGGAGAATGTGCGCTTCGTGCTGGTACGCAGCGAGGCGTCGCTGCCCAACACCGGTCCCCGCAGCGCCGAGGCGCGCGTGGTGCGCAGTCGCGAGCGCCCCTGCTCGGCCCGGGGGGTCCTGGCGCGGCCCAGCCTGGCCATGACCCAGGAGAAGCAGAGGCGGGTGGTGCGCAAGGCCTTCCGCAAGCTGGCCAAACTCAACCGGCGGCGCCAGCAGCAGCCGTCGTCGCCCTGTTCGTCCACTTCCTCGTCCACAGCGTCGTCCTGCACGTCGTCGCCGCGGGCCACCGAGAGTCCGTCGGTGGAGCGCATGGAGACGCTGGTACACTTGGTGCTCTCCCAGGACCACACCATCCGTCAGCAGGTGCAGCGGCTCCGGGAGCTGGACCGCGAGATCGATCGCTACGAGGCCAAGGTGCACCTGGACCGCATGCGACGGCACGGCGTCAACTACGTGCAGGACACTTATTTGGTGGGCGCAGGCATCGAGCTCGACGGGCCCAGCCGGGGAGAGGAGCCGAAGGCGGCGGCGGCCGCGGCGGCGCCGCCCCTGGACGGCGAGGCGCAGGCAGCGGCGCTGGAGGAACTGGCCCGGCGCTGCGACGACCTGCTGCGGCTGCAGGAGCAGCGGGACCAGCAGGAGGAGTTGCTCGAGCGCCTCTCGGCCGAGATTCAGGAGGAACTGAACCAGAGGTGGATGCGGCGGCGCAAGGAGGAGCTCGCAGCCCACGAGGAGCCCCTGGAGCCGGATAGCAGCCTCGACGGCGAGCTGCTGCTGGAGCAGGAGCGGGTCCGGACGCAGCTCAGCACCAGCCTCTACATCGGGCTCCGGCTCAACACGGACCTGGAGGCGGTCAAGTCGGACTTGGATTACAGCCAGCAGCAATGGGACAGCAAGGAGCTCGAGCTGCAGGGCCTTCTCCAGACTTTGCACACGTTGGAGCAGACGGTAGCGCCTGATGGGATTCCAGGCTCCTGCGGACCCTCGCGGGAACCCCGGCCTCAGGCCTGCGCTGAGGTGTGGGTGGACCAGGCCCGCGGACTGGCCAAGAGCTGCCCTGGCAACGACGAGGACTCGGACACGGGGCTGAGCTCTATGCACAGCCAGGACTCGGACTCGGTGCCTGTGTGCGAATCCCTTGTGTAGAAAGATAGAAAGAGCAGGGCCAGAGAGGGAGACGGGTGCTTCTCCCCTTCTTGTAGGAAGCCCGGGCCTGGCAGGCTCAGGGACTGGAAACCAGGCTGCGGGTGGCCCCCGAGTCCTGCCTGGCAGCAGCGCCCCGACGGGGCCGGAAAGGGCTCGGGGCGCCTGCCTGGCAGCGGCACTCCTCTGGCTCGCGGTGAGTGTAGAGGAGGGTGTGGGATGAGGAAGCCGGGTCTCCAATCCAAGCTCTTTTAGGGGAAGGAAGGAGGGAGGAGGTGAGAACCCCTTAAATTGGAAAACAAATGCCCCAAGGAAATGGACGTAGTCCATTTTCAAAATCAGAAAAAAAGGGCATGATGGAGATTTCACCACTCTTCTGTATGTGAAGGACTGATGGCAGCTAGAATTTTAGGTTGTGGCATAAAATGCTTTTAAAAGAAACACTTGGATGAAAAGGAAATTCCTTGAATGTTAATTGTGACTGTGAACGTGTTAAAACTAGCCAAAGAGGACGCACTGGTGTTGGTCTCAGCCTTACTTACATCTCTGATAAAAATCCATAGGCACTCAAATCCTGGCTGTTTACATTTCTGCAGATTTGGGAATTACCCATCTGCTAAGCTGTTTGCCTTCTATTTTCTTTCAAAGGCTGAACTGTATCGAAGTCTAAACCCGTATTATATGAGATCCTTTTTCCAAAATAACCTTTTATTATCACAAAAGCCATACGCAACCCTTTTGAGATAGATGCCAGACATAATCTTTGGTTAAAATTTAATCTGGGCTCTTTGGGATTTGCCCTGGCAAAGGTATGTGTGTTGTCCTTTCATTCATATTGCCACTTCATCCACTCAATCACTGTTACTTCATAAAAAATAAAGGGAAGTTCCAGGATTCAAGTTAAGTACAACTAAATTTGCTGTTGAATGAGCACTCCCGTTGAAACTAAGACTTGAAAGCAAAGCTCTTTGTTAAAAAGTTCAGCTTTTGAACTGAGATATATGATTAAAGCCAACCATGACCTCAACATATTTTACTCAGACCCAAGCCTACCTTCAGTATCTTTGGCCAGGAATTAATGTTACTTGTGCAAACCGAAATTGAGATAGTGTAAATATCAGGGTTTCCTAGATAAGGCCTGAAAAAGAAAAAAATGCAATCCAACATTGACTAGTACACCTTGAGTGAACAGTTAAACAACATTGCATGTAGCCATAGATAAAAGCATATCAAAGTGAGGTAATGACTTGATTTGAATTACTCATGTCTGGCTTGCACCTTTGCACACTCCAGGAGATGGAAGCGCAATCTCTCTCCCCTCTCTCTTCCTCTGTCTCTCTCTCTCTTTCTCTTTCTCTCTCTCTCTCTCTGGTGGGGACTCAATGTAATCGGTCCAGCTATTTCAATGAGAACTTATCAGTTGTAGCTAGTTGTTGTCCGTGTGGAAGGAGCCTGCTCTGCTGGCTGTGTTCCCTCTAGAGCTCAGTACTTCTGAGGAATGTAGGATCTAATCTGTCCTGAGGAGGTGTTAACAATGGGGTGTGTGTGTGGTGCCAGCCTGGTGCAGAAGCCTGGTATCAACCTAACTGAGGAGGGGCTGGCTCCAGTTTCAACCCTACATGTGAAGATAACTTAAGAGGTCCTGTTTTCTAGAGAGGTTTCTTTCCTTGGAGAGGTTCTTGGTCAGTGTATTGCCAGCGGGGGCCTGCTCATCTGACCTCCTCAAGCCATCTGGGCTGTCTCCTTTTGAGAGTCAGCCATCAGCCTCCCCGACCCCCACCGCCATGCCATTACAACATGTGTGGATATTTTCAAATTTTCAAGTAAAATGGGAATTAAAAGGCCGGTTTCTTAATTGATGTTTTCAAAAGGCATTAGCTGGCATAATTATGGTTTTTTAGTTTCGTCTGATGCAGAAAACATCTATGTATTTGGTTTGAGCATGATTAAAATGAGGAAGGGACCGTAAAAAACCCACTGTCCCTAGACAATCATTTGATCCCGTAAACACAAAGCCTAATGATAGCTTTCCTTTTGAAGCAGAGGTAAAATCCTCATTAGAGTGTGACAAACGCTACTTGTCTGAATGGTTTATGCTGGCAATGGGCTGACCTAGTGGTTTTAAAATTATTGTGCTTTTTTTTCCCCCCCAGGGTGGTAGGAGAGATGGTTCTTGGACATTCATTAACTCAAAAGAGAACACAGAAGTTGGCAGGACAGGGCTGCCTGACAGAAAGGGGCTGTTTTCCTTTTCACTATTATTATTTTAAACTTTGACAGGCTGCTGACGTCAGCAAATATGCCTGAAGGCTGTAAAGCAAATAAGCCACATCACAGGGAAGAAGGCCTGTGGGATTTTTTTTCTGGTGCCTTCTTTCCAGAACCTTCCTGCCTCTTGCCACCTGAAGATGCCTCTCCAGTCAACTCCTCAGGCACCAAGCGGGTTTTGTTTTATAACAAAAGGTCTGCCCATGTTTTCTTTTATCCAAATCAATTATATCCCCAAAAGGCACTCTCTGTGGGTAGGAGAAAGGAGACCAGGTGAGGGGAAAAGAAAGCAGGCAATGGTTTCTTTTACAAGCCTGAGAAAGGTGAAATATGGATATAAAAAAAGCACAAAAACAGCACCTGTGCCTAGAAAGTGGGTAATAAATGCTAGACATTTAAAAAATTTCGTTCACTTTTTTTATGATCATCATGGCACTAAGAACGAAAACGAATGCATGGCCGTGAATACACCAGCACTAGGATTTCAGTGCCCCTGGGAAAAGTAACCCCTCTCCTGTTCTCCAAGGCTATCAAATCCTGGGGAGGAGAGCAGGAAGCACAGCGGGCTTCTCACCAGCCAGCCCCATCCTTTTTAGGAAATAATACAGTTTATTGTATCTTATCTTAATTATCCCGTTCTTGGCTATCTGACCAAACCAAAAAGATTCCATCTGGCATTACTGTTTATTTCCTTATAAAACAAGATGCTGCTGCTACTACTGATGATGATGATGATGACAACTTACTAATTAGAAAAGTTATATACTTTGGTCCTTAAGATGGACCTAAAAACAACATAAGTAAAAAGAAAGAAAAATGACTCAACATCTTGTTACCAAAAGCTTACCACTACCAAAATTTGGTATATCTCACTCCAGATCTTTTGAATTGTGATTATTTCCTATTTTGCTTATTTTTTAAAATGTATATTATTTTAATGAGATTGCATACATGCATACAGGTTTTGACAGACTCCTGGTGAACGGCTCCATCCACCTGTTAGATGCACCACAGTGCATTGTAACTGTTCTACTGTTATTAAATTCCCGATATTTTTTACTGTTATAAAATAACACCGTGATAAGCTTCTTTGTGCACGTTTCCCTAATTAGGCCTCCCCCAATAAGGTAAGTTCCCAGAAAGAGAATTCTCAAAGAACACACACATTTGAATGCTTGATACTCAATTGCCAAATTGCTTTTCAAAAGATTTATTCTAATTATAATCTATGCATCCCAATGCCTATTTCACCACCCTTTGTCTTTCATTCGATATTTTATTTTGGTAAGAAAATATTTTAATCAAAATTAATGAATTAATTCTTTGTGGCCCCAAGAACCCAGATCTGGGAACCGCTGACTTAAAAATATCCTTACAACAGAAAGAGCAGGTCATCTGACCAGAAATGTGAAGAGAACGTGGCGCCTTCTCTCCTTCCCATTTCCTTGCTTTCCATGAGCACTGCTTAGTAACAGCACGGTCTCTCTGAGCAGGAGGGGCCAAAACTCCACACGAGCAAGATTAAGGGGATTTACAAATAAGATAGCCAGACTTATAAAAAGAAAATATTCATTATCTTATTTCATCCTGAGTAGAGCAGAAAAGCTTGTGCTTAGAAGGTGATGTCATAAAATGTGTGTGATTTTGTGCTTCTCCTTACCCACCATATCAAAAATGAAGTCAAAATAAAGTAAACGCACAGCCCACTTGTTTATTAACAGCCTCTAACAGTTTCCTAGGAATTTCTAGACATGCTACTACGCTTGAGCTCATGCTTACATTCTGGAAAAGAGAACATTTGATCATGACGTTTGTGGAATGTCTGTTCTGAAAATGTTTGTGAAATGTGTTCTTGTAAATAGGAGAGAAGATGAAAGGCACTATCTTTTTTTGAGTGATCTCCAAATGCCAGATCCTGGTGCTGAGTATTTTCACATGTCTCTGCATTCATCTCATGAGTTAAAACTTTTAACCTCTAATTTTACAGATAAAGAAACCAAGGCCATCCTGCTGGTAAGTAGCAAATGCAGGATTCTAACCCAAGCCCGACTCCAAAACCTGTGCCAATTTGTTATGTCACACCAGATGCATTATACCCATGAAGTATTTGGCACACCAAGATCCCTCTCAAGTCCCAGAGTGTTGGTATTGGAAGAGCCTCAGAGATTATCAAGTCTTGTCCAAATATTTCCACCAGGGAGGTGGAGTGATTTTTTTCAAAAATCATAAAGCCAACAACTATGTACCAGGTGAGCCTTTAGGAAAAGACAAAGGAGGAGAAATTCCTGCATAAATATCCAAGCATCTGTCTCAGAGGTGAAGTCTTTGCCAATGAAAAAAAAAATTTCTCACAAAAAATTAATATCCTGTGTATCAGCATGGAGATTTTGACTGAATGCCCCAAGGGCACAGGTGCATAGTCAACAGCATGAAATCCTCAGCCGTCAGGGCCGACAGCAATGCACTATTCATAGTCACATCTGGAAGGTGGTGCCAACAACCATGGCTGTGCTGGAGCTGTCCCCAGCACTTTTAACTGGGTCTTGTTTCTGAATGAGCCTCTGGGTATATGAGGATCAGGGAAGGGTCACAGGAGGGAGTGCTGGGCCTTCCAAGGACCCCTGTGCCCTTGGAGTTAGGCAGGTATACCTGACTGAGGGTGTCTTTGTCCATGCTGGCTCCACTGCTTATGTGGAGACCGAGCACAGATTGCTTTGAAGGATGCTGTCCCAGCCTCTGCCCCTCATCCATTCCTATGAAAACTTTTCTGTTTCAGACACTTCCAGGATTCCTCACAGCTTTGGGGATAAAGTCTACATTTCTTAGCAGGATTT